TTGCATATTTCAACCAATTTCTTTGGCTATAATGCTCACTCAACTAAAATTATTAATTACATCTACTACTCTATGTTTAGAATAATGAGTGGTGGTCCATTAATTACATACAGTCTTTCTGTACAATCATAAGGGTGAACCAGCTAATTAATACAAAAGTGTTGATTATTTCTTACCTGAACTATGGCTTCAGGAAGGCCCGTTGCCACAGTCAGACTGTCTTTCACCTCCAGGATATTTGACATCAGTGTCTCGAGAGTAGGCAGGAGAATGCCAAAGTAACAGTTCTCCTCTCCTTGCAGGATGTCCAGAGCAACTGTGAGTGGCTTCATTGTGACACAATAATCCTTCAAAAAAAGAAGTTCAAGTCACTGATAGACTTCAGCTGTAAACGATCAGCGATGGCACTCAAGTCAGTCATAGGAATTTCCACAATTCTGGCAACAGCTTCATAAAATGAATTCCACCTTGTGGTGCATGGCACAAGCAGCTTTTTAGTGACCACGTCGCTCACGACCTCTGCAGCCAGAGTGGACCTGTTTGCCTTGTTCCACAGTGACCGAGCTTTTGTACAGTGCCTTAGTACCAGGGTTTGAAACAAACCACTTCTCTACGTCACTATATGAAATTAGGTTAAGCGTGTGAGATGCACACCGCTGGTGTGGAGGTAAAACAATCCCTTCCTCTGCTGCGGTGTTGAGAACTTCTGCAACATCGGTAAAGGTAACATCATCATCATGATCTTCATCATCGTCGTCAGAGAACGATTCCAGTTGATACATAGCAAAAGCCTTCACAAAATTAGAGCCGTTATCTGTAACGGTGGAAGTAACTTTTGTTGACACTCCAAACAAAGAGTGAATGTGATCAATCTCACCAGCAATCAGATCATAGGTGTGCCTACCCTTTATCCGTTTGCAGGCTAACGCAGCTTTCTGACGTTGTAAAGTGGTGGGGTTTATCCAGTGAGAGGTTATTCCCATGAAGCTCCTGTTGTGGGCAGACCAGATGTCTGCAGTAGTGGAGATGTATTTCAGTCCCTCAAAAGTTTTCTTTAGCTCACTTTCCATTTTTGTATATTCCCTCTCCAGGAACTTAGAGAATGTTTTCCATCCCATCTGCTGTGTCGCGCCCGTTATCATACTAACTAGTCGCCTGAAGGCGGGTGACTCCACTGTAGAAATAGCCTGCATGTCTTCGACATCATATCTTGCAATGGCTTTATCAACTTTATCCTGGCTAACAGTGCCACGGTTGAAATCCAGCCGCTGCTGCTTACTGTAGGTCGTGGAGGAGGTGAAGTGGCATCGGATAGTGAGCCTGTTTGTGTGCCGGTAGCTTCTAGCTTCATCGCAGCATGTTGCTTTTGTAGGTGTTTTAACAGATTAGAGTTGCTGTTCTGGGCTGTAGATAGAATCTTTGATCCAAGGCACAAATTATATTTAACCAAAATGTTCCTTTCTTTTTTCTAGACAAAAGTAAAGTAATGAGAATATCTCCAAGTGAAGAAACTCGACTTGGGCTCTGCAGCAGCTGCCATGATGACTAGTGTTGGTAAACACAAACCGCCCTCAGCAGGTTTCCGTCCTGTCTCCCTCTCTCTAACACAGGAAGACAATACTTTACTGCAGCTTTTAAGTCTCTAGCTGATCCCGAGACTATAAAATAACGCAGTAACACATCATGTAGTAATGTTAACGGAGTTCCTGAATTTAAAAACTAACGCGTTAGCGTACTAGTTAATGAAAAAAAATACTGCCGTTACAGTAACGCATTAGTCCCAACACTGCTGGTCAGAGCACTCATTACTTCTCTGAACTTCTCCGCTGCCACAAACCAGTGGCGGCTGGCCAATAGAGGGAGCTAGGGCACCACCCCACCCACTGGATGACCTTGAATAAAACATAAAAAAAAATCTAATAAAAATGAAATTATAATTAAAAATATTATTAAAATTTTTATTAATGAGTAAATCATTGTCGCATTGGTGATGTATTTACACCCTGGGGTGCAAAAATCTTTGGCCATTGACTCTTGTTAAAAGTTGTACATGCGCAGTAGCTCCTCTGCAGTACAGAAATATAGGAGAGCTCGGGACGCAGGAGAGCTGCACCCAGGCACAGTGTGGCCGATTGACAGGTCAAATTGCAAAAGTGAAGTCTCA